TCGCGAGATCTTGGCCAACAACCTCAAGGTCCTGGAGTGGCCTAGACAGTCTCCAGACCTGAACCCAATAGAACATCTTTGGAGGGAGCTGAAAGTCTGTATTGCCCAGCGACAGCCCCAAAACCTGAAGGATCTGGAGAAGGTCTGTATGGAGGAGTGGGCCAAAATCCCTGCTGCAGTGTGTGCAAACCTGGTCAAGACCTACAGGAAACATATGATCTCTGTAATTGCAAACAAAGGTTTCTGTACCAAATATTAAGTTCTGCTTTTCTGATGTATCAAATACTTATGTCATGCAATAAAATGTAAATTAATTACTTAAAAATCATACAATGTGATTTTCTGGATTTTTGTTCTAGATTCCGTCTCTCACAGTTGAAGTGTACCTATGATAAAAATTACAGACCTCTACATGCTTTGTAAGTAGGAAAACCTGCAAAATCGGCAGTGTATCAAATACTTGTTCTCCCCACTGTATTTGACTGCATCACAATTCCAGTGGGTCAGAAGTTTACATACACTAAGTTGACTGTACCCCCCCCCCCAAAAAAGAAAGTGGACGGTACCTTTAAACAGCTTGGAAAATTCAAGAAAATTATGTCATGGCTTTAGAAGCTTCTGATAGGCTAATTGACATCATTTGAGTCAATTGGAGGTGTACCTGTGGATATATTTCAAGGCCTACCTTCAAACTCAGTGCCTCATTGCTTGCCATCATGGGAAAATCAAAAGAAATCAGCCAAGACCTCAGAAAAACAATTGTAGACCTCCACAAGTCTGGTTCATCCTTGGGAGCAATTTCCAAACGCCTGGAGGTACCACGTTCATCTGTACAAACAATAGTACGCAAGTATAAACACCATGGGACCACGCAGCCATCATACCGCTCAGGAAGGAGATGCGTTCTGTCTCCTAGAGATGAAAGTACTTTGGTGCGAAAACTGCAAATCAATCCCAGAACAACAGCAAAGGACCTTGTGAAGATGCTGGAGGAAACAGGTACAAAAGTATCTATATCCACAGTAAAACGAGACCTATATCAACATAACCTGAAAGACCAGAAACCACTGCTCCAAAACTGCCATAAAAAAGCCAGACTACGGTTTGCAACTGCACATGGGGACAAAGATCATACTTTTTGGAGAAATGTCCTCTGGTCTAATGAAACCAAAATAGAACTGTTTGGCCATAATGACCATCGTTATGTTTGGAGGAAAACGGGGGAAGCTTGCAAGTCGAAGAACACCATCCCAACTGTGAAGCACGGGGGTGGCAGCATCATGCTGTTGGGGTGCTTTGCTGCAGGAGGGTCTGGTGCACTTCACAAAATAGATGGCATCATGAGGAAGGAAAAGTATGTGGATATATTGAAGCAACACCTCAAGACATCAGTCAGGAAGTTAAAGCATGGTCGCAAATGGGTCTTCCAAATGGACAATGACCCCAAGCATACTTCCCAAGTTGTATCAAAATGGCTTAAGGACAACAAAGTCAAGGTATTGGAGTGGCCATCACAAAGCCCTGACCTCAATCCTATAGAACATTTGTCGGCAGAACTGAAAAAGCGTGTGCGAGCAAGGAGGCCTACAAACCTGACTCAGTTACACCAGCTCTGTCAGGAGGAATGGGCCAAAATTCACCCAACTTATTGTGGGAAGCTTGTGGAAGGCTACCCGAAACGTTTTACATAAGTTAAACAATTTAAAGGCAATGCTACCAAATACTAATTGAGTGTATGTAAACTTCTGACCCACTGGGAATGTGATGAAAGAAATAAGAGCTGAAATACATAATTCTCTCTACTATTATTCTGACATTTCACATTCTTAAAATAAAGTGGTGATCCTAACTGACCTAACACAGGGAATTTTTACTAGGATTAAATTTTAGGAATTGTGAAAAACTGAGTTTAAATGTATTTGGCTAAGGTGTATGTAAACTTCCGACTTCAACTGTATCTCCTTGGCATATTACATCATTTATGCAGCAGCCTACAAGACATATTTGGACTCACCTTGTTGTGTTGTGCTCACTTGAACAGGAAGGTGGTGCGGCGGTCCTTCATGGGCAAATTTTGTCATCAAACTTTGTCATCAAAGTCTGGCATTCTCTGGATTTATGGTGCTTTCAAGACAACTGGGAACTCTGGGAAAAAAACAAGGTTGAATCATGATGACGTCAGTGATTTTCAGGTCGGAGCTCTAGAAAGAGGCCAGAGTTCCTGACTTGCAATTCCGAGTTGGATGACCGTTCAAAGCGTATTTTCTCAGTCTGAGCTCTTTTTTTTTGTCCTGAACTCACTGAAATCAAATTTCCCATTTCTGAGTTTCCAGTTGTTTTGAGCGCGGCAGAAGTCATGCTGGATTGACACCATGGCCAATGTTGAATGTTTGTCCTTTTAAGCTTGGAAAATAGACCCTTAAACCCAGACTTGGGACCACACACCCACTCTACTAAATAGCAGGCTAGTGATTGCAGTTAGCCACTGTCACTGATTCCTTCTAAACCACTCATTGTTGAATTTGCGATTTCCATCTTGTTGTGTAATGTTTATGTCCAATGGCCGATGAGCACCGATACATTTTATCTATAATTTCCCTTCATTATTTATCTTCATATGACAAGGAGTAAAAAGGATTTGCCAGTAGATTATCGACTTGATTCATGATGATGACTGCTAGCTTGCTAGCTAAGATTTTGAAAGTATGATGTTGACATGATCAGTCCAATCAAAGCTGTTTTAGATATAACGTGATTTGATGTTATTTTATCTGTGGCCAATGACCTTGAGCTTTCTTGGATGGGCACTTCTAATGTATCTCTATGGCAGCACCCAAGGGGCTTGAATTTCCGAGCTCTACCCTTAGATTTGGCGGCGAGGTAGTGTCCCCATGAGTGACAGAACACTGAGCCAATCACGGCGCAACTAGAGAACATTACCAACCCCTATACTCCATATTTTCCGCTGGCTGCCCCACCACCACAGAAAGCACTGAGCTAGGCTGAAACACTTGCATTTTGGAGCTGCCTTACTCAAGAAAGCAAAAAAGAGACCAAGTTTGTATGCCGCTTTATTAACTCAAATATATATTTATTTTTTTACATTGTTTACTAACTGATAAGTGACACGTAATAATGCCAAAATAACATGCAAAACAGGCATAGAAAGGTGGGGCTCAAAACAGGTGTCCTGAATGACGGGTCGCCATTATGTGCAACTCATTGACTACATTTCACAGCTGCAATGTCTCGCGCTGGGAAGTCTGAGTGAGCACTTCCTAAACTACGGCTCCCTCTACAGGTAGTACCCTGAACATTTTTGACTGACTGCTGGAAAACAATGTCACACTATGCAATACAGTAGGATGGACACATCAGAGATGCAGTCAACTACAAGACACATGTTCAACCACAATTTATTGTGATGTTATATGCCGTGGTGAAAGGGAGCGCAAAGCAGTTGATTAGGCTGCAAGGATTTTCCAGCCTGAACGTTTCTCTATTTTTAGGAATGTATTTTAGTTTTTTTTCTCGTTCTTTGAATACTTGGCAGTGAGGACAACTTTCCCATTTGTAATTTATTGTTCCTCCGAATCTAACTGCCGTTGGTTTGGGAAAGAAGACAAAGGCAAAATAAATACATTATTTTAATATGGAAAACGACTAAACCTTGGATTGGGACAGTACATTACCGTAACAGCTCGCAATGTTAGACGCTGAAATGCGCTGTTTACGTTGGTTTGTGGTTTCCATTAGTTACCACAGCCACAAAGTCAAAATGGCTATTTTGTAAAAATTCATGAAAACAAAAATGTACATTTTGGTCTTCATTTAAGGTTAGGGTTAGGCGTAAAGTTAGCAGAGTGGTTAGGATTAAGGTTAGGCTTAGGTTTCAAATCACATTTTAAGAAGATAAATTGTAGAAATAGGCGGGGTCTCTGAATTTGTGGCTGTAGTAACTAGTGACGACCTTGGTTTGTGGATGTTGCTGCTCGATCGAGGACAATAAAAAGCCTTTGGGTGTCTGTGATTGGACCGGACACTGATTGGGGCTGACTGATGTTTTTCCAGGAAGAAATGTTTTGGGGAGAGATCAAAACGAGTTTGTTGCTTCTCGCAGGAGGAGTTTCCAGCCTCTCTATGCGCCACACTCAACACAGTGAGAATAGAAAACGTGCCCGCAAAAACAGATTTATGGATGTATTCTGTGTTAAAAATGTCTCAAACATTTATGTAAGGCTGCTGTTTCATGGTGTTTTCATTTTATGGTGTAGTACAGATGTGCACACCTTCTCAACTTTATATTACCTTTGTGTTTTCAAACCTTTCCAAATGGACATGGACATTGCGTTTTTTGTACCCTATTGGACGGGAGTAGCCTATACAGTAGGCTACTAATACAATAGTGCTGTCAAGCTCTCGACTCCTGACAATTCTTCATGCAGACTGGTATTGTTGAATACATGTTATTTTATTGTTAAACAATATAGTCTGTCGTTTTTTGTAGAATGTAAATTGAGATGATCAGAAAACATATCAGAAACTATCAGAAAACATACATAATTTGAATATGTCTCCAAAATACATTTCTAAAGTTTTTGGAAAAGACTTGAAATTGTTGTTATCACTAAGGAAAATAATTTTCCATTCAGCTTTTAAAAAGGCATGATAATATAAACAAAACAATGACAAAAATGTCTTGGACCATGGCAAAAAAGTGGATTGGATGCAATATATTTTTACTGGCACTCTTGGCAGTGGGAATGGCTTTTTCCGGTGTCTTCAACACTTCAGACAAACATATTTTTACGGATGATTTAGTGCCGCTCAAACTCACCCAGGGCAAAGCATCAGAGCATCGAAAACTTCAGTCTACCGATTCTCATCCCAACCTATATTTCAACCAAGTGAATGTACAGGTTATGAGGCAAAGATCTTCCAGCACGCACAGCCACATTTTCAAAGTAATCAGAGCAGCGGTGATGACCATGCTATCCAACATGCCCCTTTACGTACCCCCTGCAAAACATGAGGAGTTTACTAGCAAGTGGAATGAGAAATACGGGAACAATCTACCCCCCCTCGCTCTGTATTGCCTGCTGTGCCCAGATGACTCAGGTGCCCTGCAGTTTCTCATCAAGTTTATGGATAAAATGGCAGATTACCCAGACTGGAAGGTGATCAGCGCTCCCAATGACGAGGTGCCCATGGCACACTCACTCACTGGGTTTGCCACAGCCTATGACTTTATTTACGCTTTCCTTGATGAGCACCGACGGGATGTTTACCTCAAGAGAATTCGCTCTGAGACAGAGGAGCTGTATGAGATGTCTAAGTATAGGGGTTGGGGGAAACAGTATCTCCAAAATCATCAAACCACTAATATATTAGCTATCTTGACTGGGGCTATTGTGGTCGGCACACATGACGACCCAGCAACAATGGTCTGGAAACAGGTGTCAGTCAATTATATGGAGAAGACCATGTTTCTCCTAAACCACGTTGTGGATGGGTCACTAGATGAGGGTGTGGCTTATGGAAGCTACACGGCCAAGTCTATCACGCAGTATGTGTTCTTAGCGCAACGTCATTTCAACATTGACAACACACAGAACAACTGGCTGCGGGAACACTTCTGGTTCTACTATGCCACCCTGCTGCCAGGCTTCCAGAGGACCGTGGGCATCGCCGACTCCAACTACAACTGGTTCTACGGCCCAGAGAGCCAGCTGGTGTTCCTAGACACATTTGTTATTAGAAATGGCACTGGGAACTGGCTCGCCCAGCAGATTAGAAAGCACAGGCCCAAGGACGGTCCCATGGGGCAGTCCTCTGCCCAGCGCTGGACTACCCTTCACACGGAGTACATCTGGTACAATGCCCATCTCACGCCACAGCCTCCCCATGGCTTTGGCAAAGCCAGGATGCATATTTTCTCCAACTGGGGTGTGGTGACGTACGGAGCCGGGCTGACCAATGGTCAGGGCAACACTTTTGTCTCCTTCAAATCTGGGAAGTTGGGTGGCCGTGCCGTGTATGACATCGTTCATGCAAAGCCATATTCATGGCTGGATGGCTGGAATAGCTTCAACCCAGGGCACGAGCACCCGGACCAAAACTCCTTCACTTTTGCTCCTAACGGACAGGTATTTGTGTCCGAAGCACTTTACGGGCCAAAGTACAGTTATCTGAACAATGTGCTGGTGTTCGGCCCCTCTCCCAGCAGCCAGTGTAACGCCCCATGGGAGGGCCAGCTGGGGGAGTGTGCTAAGTGGCTGCGCTGGACAGATGAAGGGGTGGGAGATGCAGCTGGGGAGCTGGTCGCTGCCTCCTCCCACAGAGACACCATGTTTGTGAGTGGGGAAGCAGCGTCTGCCTACTCTCCTGCCATGCGGTTAAGGAGTGTGTACAGGGCCCTGGTGCTGCTCAACTCCCAGACCTTGCTAGTACTGGACAATGTCGAGAAGTGGGACGATTCACCCGTCACCTCACAGAGTGCGTTCTTCCACAACCTCGATATTGACTTTAAATACGTCCCCTATAAATTCATGGACAAGTACAATGGGGCGTTGATGGATGTGTGGGACGCCCATTATAAAATGTTCTGGTTTGACAGTCAGGGTCTCAGCCCAGACACTAGGATACAGGAGGCAGAGCAGGCGGCAGAGTTCAAAAAGAGGTGGACACAGTATCTTAATGTCACTTTCCCAATGAGGGGCACAGTAAGCAGAGTGGCCTATGTGATGCATGGACCTTATGTCAAAGTGTCCAACTGTAGATTTCTGGACAATAGCAAAAATGGTGTCAGGCTATCTCTAATTATAAACAACACAGAGAAAATAGTTTCCATTGTAACAAACTATAAAGACATAGGAGCAAGATTAAGTTATTTAGGATTTGCTGGTTATGCCAAAATGGAGGACAGACGTCAGATCATTCGATATGGCTTGGGGATGCAACTTGTTCCCGAACAAAACACAGTGGGCAATCAGCTGTTTGATTTTGGATTCACAGTCAATGTGATAGCAGGGGTGATACTTTGTGTTGCTATTGTGTTTTTGACTAAGCAGAGAAGGTTATATGTGTGCTTCAGTAGACTGATGCGCTATGCTCTCCTCTCTGTGCTCATACTGTGGATAGCTGAGTTGTTGTTTGTGTCGAACACCTGCGATCAACTCCTCTGTAGGGTCAAATGGAAAGGTGTCAGCACTGACCGAGAGGTCAACAAACAAATCAGACTTCATGATCAGCATCGCTTTCCCCTGCCAACCGTCGTCATAACGACCCTGCCTGGCTCTGGATCGGAAATACTTAAGCACCTTTTTGACAACAGCTCTGACTTTGTTTACATACGGGTCCCCACGGAGCACATAGACATTCCAGAGACCGAGTTTGAATTTGACTCGCTGGTCGATGCCTGCGAGTGGACCAGATCGGACGCCCTGCGCGGACGATTCAAGATCATTCAGGGCTGGCTGCACTCTTTGGTCCACAACACCAAGCTGCACCTGCAGAACATCCAGCTGGTGGAGAGTAGCAGGGCCAAGCTGCCCCAGAGAGCCCCAGGTCTCGGCAGGGACAGGAGGAAGAGGACCAGGAGGAAGGAGCCTGCTGCGGAGCTGAGGGGCAAGATGAGAGGCAGCCTGGACCGGGACGCTGAGTACGTCAGGGATATGAGGCGCCACGTCAATGAGTACCCCAATGCCCGTGTGGTCCTCAACATGAGGAGTGGCAGCTGGGGGCTCAAACTCCCCTTCATTCAGGAGGTGGTGGGCCCGTCCCTGAGGGCCATCAATGTAGTCAGAGACCCCCGGGCATGGATCTATCTCATGCTCTTTAACAGTAAGCCCAGCCTTTACTCCCTTAAGAACATTCCCCAACACCTGTCCCTGATATTTGAGGAGGATGTTTGCAGTACCAGGGACGGGTGCCCAGCCTCAGCCCCAGAGTTCAGAATGATCCGGAGGCTCCTGTCCCACCCCGAGGTCAACGCTGTCCTCCTGTTGGCCCACCTGTGGCTGGCACACACTGCCGCAGTGCTCAGGGTCAGTGGGAGCCTCCCAGCAGAGGCCTACCTCCAGGTGAGGTTTGAGGACATAGTCACTTTCCCCCAGGAGACGGCTGAAAGGGTACACATGTTCCTGGGGGTGCCGGTCAAACCGGCGGCCCTCAACCAGCTCATCTTCACCACCTCCACAAACTTGTACAACTTGATGTACGAGGGGGACATATCACCAGCTAATATTAACATTTGGAGGCAGAACATGCCTCGCAAGGACATCAGACTGATAGAGGACACATGTGGGGTGGTCATGAAAAGACTTGGGTACTCCAGGTTTATCAGCTAGTTACCGTTACTGCTGCAGGTCAGCTGATATGAAGTTGTCTTCGTACCCGTATACCACGGGTACGACAAAACATTTATTTTAACTGCTCTAATTACATTGGTAACCAGTTTATAATAGCATTAAGGTACCTCGGGGGTTTGTGATATATGGCCAATATACCACGGCTAAGGGCTGTGTCCAGGCACTCCGCGTTGCGTCACGCTTAAGAACAGCCCTTAGCCGTGGTATATTGGCCATATACCACACCCCCTCGGGCTTATTGCTTAAATATTTAACTATGTTCCAGATGTGTGTGGTTTTACTCACATATGATAACTTGTGTTTGCAAGTGAGGGATGTTTTACATTAAAATGAGATGAAGGGGAACTTTAAAAGTGAATGTATTTGATTGTGTTTTATCCCCATTATCCCCAGGACAATTACTTTAAACACTCTTTTTGAGTGAGATTTCCTCCCTTTGATGTCTAACATGCAGTTGTCTCTTAAAAAGTCTCTGCAAAAATACTGCAAAGTCTAAACTGAGAATTTTGTTGATGCTGTTGGAAGTTTAGAAATACAGTATGTTCCTAGTGCTTGATTGTTTTTTATATGAATATGAATATATATATATATATATATATATATATATATATATATATATATATATATATATGAATAATGTGGACTGGATTTTCATATAAATGTATACTAGAAATGTTTTACTTTAGGCAAATATGCCATGAAGGAATTGTATTTGTTCAAAGATGTTATGGCATGTAAATGGTTTAGCACTTCGCAGGGATTTCCTCAGATTATCTGTGAAAGACTGTGTACATTTTAAGCCTTTAAAATCAAGTTGATGAAGTAAATCACTTGAAATGGTAATCTTAGGCTGTTGGTTTTCTGGAGGAAAATAAAATGAATGCCTTGATACAAACACACACACCCCAAAAGTTATACCAAATGAATATGGAAATGAAAATAATTGACATTTTCCATTGAGTTAGCTCCATAGAGATCAAACTGGGCTAAACGACAGCCCTGACACAGTTTGTCTGAGCAATTCCAAAGCATTCCCCCAGCTACCCATATGAATCTGCAAGACACCATTACGGGGGCTCCATTTTTATTGCTGCGTTATCTTCATTAGGCCCTAGAGGAAACGCAAACGACACAAGTTTCCATTTCGTGTCGCGCTCAATCAGATATCCAATGATCTTTCAGGACTTTGTCCCAAAACAGTTCACTAGACGGCAGACTCCACTGTTTATGAATAGTAAGTGTGCTTTAAAAGGAAGTCTTGTTTTCTGGGTCGTTTGTACTATTCTCTTAGCCACCAGTGTGGAGTCAGTGAGTCTTTTTGAGGTTTTATGTTATGCTTTATTAACCATGTACATAATTGAATATTAAACAACTTTGAAATAATGCACACTCAAAAACAGCCATTGTGTATGTAAAGAAAATAATATCATATCATACTGAGCCCATTGAGAAATATCAGTCCTTTCTCAGCCGGGAACTGTCCTAGTTTTCCACTATAAAACACTGAAACCAGTGACTGCTTGGAAAACCAGTTTGATGTTGTGGTCTTTGAATGTGTGTAGACTTGGCAGCCATGATCTCACTTTGGTGTTGCAATCCTATTACCAACTCTGTTTTGTATTTGCTCATGGGGATGCGTTTCTTTGCTTCTGTGGCCTTGAATTACAAATATATTTCTTTACATCTGGTTTCTGTGGGCTCCAGAGCAGGATTCTGAGACAATGTTAAGTAAATAATACATTCTTAAATACAGTACATTGACCACCAGTGATTTCTCTGATCCATTGCATTATTGACTCACATTGTAGATATTTTTTATAGTTCCTAAACTAGGCTACTTCGTCACTACTACATAAAATTGAGTTGCACCCCCTTTTACCCTCAGAACCGCATCAGTTCGTTGGGGCATGGACTCTACATGGTGTCGACAGCATTCCACAGGGATGCTGGCCCATGTTGTTCCCAATGCTTCCCACAGTTGTGTCAATTTGGCTGGATGTCCATTGGGTGGTGGACCATTCTTGATTCACATGGGAAACTGTTGAGCGTGAAAAACCCAGCAGCTTGCAGTTCTTGACACACTCAAACCAGTGAGCTTGGGACCTACTACCATACCCCATTCAAAGGCACTTAAATATTTTGTCTTGCCTATTCACCCTCTGAATGGCACAAATACACAATCCATGTCTCAATTGTCTCATGGCTTAAAAATCCTTCTTTAACTTGTCTCCTGCCCTTCATCTACACTGATTGAAGTGGATTTAACAGGTGACATCAATAAGGGATCATAACTTTCACCTGGATTCACCTAGTCATTTTATGTCATGGAAAAAACTGCCATTGAAATAAATGTTCATATCACGTCTTCGCCTTAACGAGCTCTGTGCCACATAAAACATGCCTTAACTAGAGCTGTGTTAGGCCATTAGCATTCTATTCCAAATACTCACTCTCTCCATGACTAAGTCATTTCATTACTCATTTGTTCTCTGTCCCTCTACTAAGACTCAGACACTGGTAAGGCTTTTCACTCATAATCCTCCTCAAGACAACAAAAACATATGAAAGTAAATTATAACAAAATAAAGTTATGTGTACCTACTGATTAAAGCCTCCTATTTTATTAAAGGCAATACTGATACCGCTAGCAAATATTCCCATAAAATGAATATTTCTGCTTTGATATTGTATCTTCAGATAAGTTATGATTTACATTAAAGTCAAAACAGAGTGTTTTGATGCTGATTGTGTGTAGCGAAGGAATTAACATTTAATCTCAACCATTAAAATTAGATATTCAAAATCAAAGCCAATTAGTTTAACTATGCATATTATACTGAACAAAAATGTAAACGCAACATGTAAAGTGTTGGTCCCATGTTTCAAGAGCTGAAATAAAAGATCCCAGAAATGTTCCATAAACACAACAAACTTATTTCTCTCAAATGTTGTACACAAATGTGTTTACATCCCTGTTAGTGAGAATTTCTCCTTTGCCAAGATAATCCATCCACCTGACAGGTGTGGCATATTACACAGGTGCACCTTTTGCTTTGGACAATAAAAGACCAATCTAAAATGTACAGTTTTGTCACACAACACAATGCCACATATGTCTCAAGTTTTGAGGGAGCATGAAATTGTCATGCTGACTGCAGGAATGTCCACCAGAGCTGTTGCAGATAATGGAATGTTGATTTCTCAACCATAAGCCGCCTCCAACGTTTTAGAGAATTTGGCAGTACCTCCAACTGGCCTCACAACCGCAGACCACGTGTAACCACGCCAGCCCAGGACCTCCACACCCGGCTTCTTCACCTGCGGGATCGTCTGAGACCAGCCACCCGGACAGCTGATGAAAGTGTGGGGTTTGCACACTGAATAATTTCTGCACAAACAGTCAGAAACCGTCTCAGGGAAGCTCATCTGCGTGCTCGTCATCCTCACCAGAGTCTTGACCTAACTGCAGTTTGGCGTCGTAACTGACTTCGGTGGGCAAATGCTCCCCTTCGATGGCCACTGGCACGCTGGAGAAGGGTGCTCTTCACGGATGAATCCCGGTTTCAACTGTACCAGATGGCAGACAGCGTGTGGGTGAGCGGTTTGCTGATGTCAATGTTGTGAACAGAGTGCCCCATTGTGGAGGTGGGGTTATAGTATGGGAAGGCATAAGCTACGGACAACAAACACAATTGCATTTTATCAATGGCAATTTGAATGCACAGATATTCTGTGACGAGATCCTGAGACTCATTGTTGTGCCGTTCATCCGCTGCCATCACCTCATGTTTCAGCATGATAATGCACGGCCCCATGTCGCAAGGATCTGTACACAATTCCTGGAAGCTGAAAATTGCATATTCACCAGACATGTCACCCATTGAGCATGTTTGGGATGCTCTGGGTCGACGTGTACGACAGCGTGTTCCAGTTCCCGCCAACATCCAGCAACTCCGCACAGCAATTGAAGAGGAGTGGGACAACATTCCACAGGCCACAATCAACAGCCTGATCAACTATGCGGAGGAGATGTGTCGTGCTGCATGAGGCGAATGGTGGTCACACCTGATACTGACTGGTTTTCTGATCCACGCCCCTATTTTTTTTAAAGGTATCTGTGACCAACAGATGCATGTCTGTATTCCCAGTCATGTGAAATCTATAGATTAGGGCCTAATGAATTTATTTTAATTGACTGATTTCCTTATATGAACTGTAACTCAGTAAAATCTTTGAGTTTATGCAGTATTTTTGTTCAGTGTATTTAAGAAGGAGGGGACTCAGTTTCAGCTGAGTAGCCATACTATTCTCCTTGCTATCTCCACCAGCCCAGTATTGCTCCCAGGGGATCCTCTCTCTCCTGGCAGCCACCAACCCTGCCAACACTAATTAATTACCCTTTACTGCAGCCGCCATCAGTCAAGACAAGCCTGGTGGTATTCTAGTGGGAAGCTGGATCATTGTTATACAGTGTGTGTAGCTGTGTACTACAGCATATACATTTACATTTTAGTCATTTAGCAGACGCTCTTATCCATAGTGACTTACAGTTAGTGAGTGCATACATTTTTCATACTGGCCCCCCGTGGGAATCGAACCCACAACCCTGGCGTTGCAAGCGCCATGCTCTACCAACTGAGCTACAGGAGGCCTTAGACATTATTAGTCTTATGACTGAGACATGGTAGAAATGTAGAGAAATAAGGATACACATTGGGGTTATAGCCAGAAAAGGTCATTTAAAAATTAAATGTTAATTATCAATTAACAAGGTGTATAGCAGATAGCATACCTATTGTCTCCAATGGGTCACTTTCACCTTGGCAGAATTCCTCCTCCTCGGCTGTGGTTGCTCAAATTTACCCACTGATGATAGAGTGAGCGAGCCACTCTCTGTTTGGATATGGGGAGGCATGGATAATTCCCATTGGTATTAATGGGACTTGACTGCAGAGGAAATGCAGGGGCATTGTCAATTTACGCCTGAAGACGAGTCACCTCTGCGGTGAAAATTGAATCCTTAATGCCAAATAAGCCAAGCGGCAGTCACTAATGAAGATCAGACCACAGGAGTCAGGCATGATCTCTGATCAGGGGAAACACACAGAATATACAGTGCCTTCCTTCAGAAAGTATTCACACCCCTTGACATTTTCCACATTTTGTTGTGTTACAGCCTGAATTTAAAATGTTTTTTATTTAATTTTATTCACTGGCCTACACACAATACCCCATAATGTAAATGTAATGTAAATGTAATAATGTCATGTTTTTACAAATTAATGAAAAGTGAAAAGCTGAAATGTATTGTATTCAACCCCTTTGTTATGGCAAGCCTAAATAAGTTCAGGAGTAAACATTTGCTTAACAAGTCACATAACAAGTTGCATGGACTCACTCTATGTACAATAATAGTGTATAAACATGATTTTTTTATGACTACCTTCTCTCTGTACCACACACAT